CTGTTCATTTATGGTCAGCCCTGCATGAGGCCAATTGCGTGCGTAGATTGGCATGCGGCCATATTCAGCAGTTGCATGGCGGCGTGGAAGAAATGGAAGGAGGGGGAGTTCAAGAGTGGGCCAGATTGGAATGAGTGTTTGGATGTCATTATAAAACTATTGGAACATCAAAATCTCATTTATTTTTTTCATTTGGAAGAGAATTCGAAACCGTCAGATGTTAAAATCTCATTTAGTTGTTTCAAAGTGATTTTGAAACTATTTGACATTAAATTCTCATTTTTGGTTAAGGTTTGGAAGCGATCATAAAACGATCTGAATATTAAAGGTCAACGCTCCTCGAAGCTTGGCCAGATTTACCCCAAATTTTCACATTTTTTATTGTTGACTTACCGCATTTCAGTGGCTTGGTCACAGGAAATCATGTTTTACATTTACTAAAAAAAATGTTGAAAAATTCTGCTTGAAAACATCTGATGCGGCAGCGAATTTTGGCCTTGGTTACACATACTTCAAGCATTGAAATTTTGAGCCAAATGCAAGAGATGTATCAGATATCAGGTCTCAGCCATTTTTGAGGACCAAAATGTTGTGCCCCAAAATTACTTCACGCGATAAGTACAGAATAACATCAAATTTCCAAGGTATTGTTAGGTGAACGTTCGTATTCTACTTTTTAAAAATCATTCTAACTATTGTCATATTGTGGATATTTTTTCGAGCCCAAAAGGCGTATACATTCTCTCAAACATTTTCCTTTAAAATCTTTTTTTTTTTTTTTAACTTCATTGTATTATTAAACTATCAGAATTTAAAATATCAATTTTTGGGGGTAATTTTCAGTTCTTGCCGATGTTCATTTTTTGAATTCTTGGCATGACAGAAGTTCAGAGTGTCAAAGATGAAAGAAGTTCATGTCGGGATATTCTTATGGAATTTACATGTGTTGAGGATTGTCATCAACTACGAGGATGAATCATGGATTTTCAAACACCATTTAACCCTGCTATGCCCAGTGCAGTTGGCAGAGAATTATCAGACCTTTCAAAACATTTTAAATTTGCCTGACTAAAAGGGTTTTGAAAGGTGAAATAGTGCTGGAACTTTGAAACTTTTCGAAAGGTTTCAGAAGGTGAAGCAACTCTGTGGGCAAATTCAGTAAGTTGCCTTTCAATACCTTTCGAAAGGAATTGAAAGGTGTGGTAGTGCAGTAACAATAAATTCTGGAGGATTTTAAAAGGTCCTGCATTTTTTGTCCTCCAATTTGCCAGAACCCAGATTTTGAGGTGTCCAGTCAAACCACGGGAGAGTTAAAAACTAGAACAAGGTTGTACATGTACACAACTCCACTTTAATACATGTGCCCCGGAAAAGGTTTGGTCAGCAAAAGCAGGCATGCCATTTGTAGGGCCCTGATGTGTTGTTTACATGTATCTTTGTGTACATGTAAATGGAGTCCATGTACATGGGTCCAGAGTCAATCAAGAATGTAGTACTAATTATTGTGTTCTTGTGCAAGACAGTGTATTTAGATTGTCTCGCTCTATCCAGGAGTTAAAATTGGTATCTGTGAGGGTATAGAGACCAGATTGAACTGATCTCAAGCTGCTGCAGGAAAGTTATCATGGTCTGATAAATAGGGGTATTAATTTTGAAGCGCTTTGTAAAGTTTGACTTTGAGACTTTGCTACCGGTATGTACATGTTGTAACAGCACTATAGTAATATTATTTTTATTATAAAGAAGAAATTGTACCAAACATTAATATTTTAGTTTTAAACCTTGTTCATATAAGGCAGATTTTTATTCCTTTCGGAAAATCTATAAATTTGGCTCCTGGTAATTATATAAGTTTATCAACCAGGATTTTTCTAATTTCATTTTCGTCGTAGAGGATGTTAAATCGTTAATGACGTGATATCATTTCCTGTCAAAAATACATGTAGCTCCTCCCCTTTTGTTGGTTTCAGCGGAAATCCACCAACGCAAAATACGAAATTGAGTAAAATCCTCTCAGTCATTTCCTGATGACAGTGTTTAAAATAATAATACAAAAAAGTAATTATGTTAAAAGGCGCAGAATGTACATTTAAGTCTGTGCCCACTCATGTCGGGGAAATCCCTTACTAGATTTAGAATCGTTACTAAGTTTAGAATCTATTTCAGTTGTGGCTGTTGGTGGGCCCTTGGTGCAACCTTGTAGTTTTTTGTTCTGTCGGTAGATGGCGGTAAGTACATGGGAACAAATGAACTTGTATTTTTAGAGCATCCTGCACTTTCTCTTGGTGGTCGGGCAATATTTATAGAAGGTTGTCAAGTGGTTCGTAGAACCCATGGTTCTTGAAGAAACCGGCTTCGCAAGTGAAGTGGATTATTTACACACGTGTACATGCACATTGTACCTTCAAATGGGATAGTTAGGTGTTTGTTTTCATATTTTATGATTTTGTTGAACGAAGATTTATAAACATGTACAATATACATGCAATCATGTTCATGTACCGTGTATACCGGTACATTGTACACTCAGAATTATGTACATGTACTTGTACAATGCTGTATCAGTTAAACACACGCACGTCTACACGTGCTAGTTCAATACAAAACATATTTACAGTACTTCACGTACAGTACCCACTAGACAAAACTTCCTGGGTTTCTCCTGCACTTACGACATGCAGATTGTGTACATACACAGGTCTGTACAATGTGTAGAACGAACATAGTCATGTACCTTGGGAAAAATACGCCAATTAAATTGTTTTTCCCTTTTTACCCTATCCTTCCTTGTGTTTTTCAGGCGGCCATGTTGAGTCTGTGTTTTCACGTCACGAGAATAACAGGTTGTTTACCATACATTCATTTCTTGTCCACCAGACTCTTACTTCCTGGAAAAATAACTCACAGGTTCCCCTCCCTGCATGGTTCCCCGCTAGCGTGCAGACAAAAAACAATATAGAGGCGGCATGTGCTTATAAGGTATATGTACACAGTGCATAGATGGTTGATGTTTTGATGACGTTTGCGGAACCTGGCCAGTACGTATACTTGCCCCTAGAGCTTTACATGGTTCATGTACACACCGTTGGGAAACAAACATCTATTTGAAAGGTCAAAGCAGTCTAGCACGTGAAACAGTGGAAAACTTGAGAGAAAGTTCTTTTTTAATAGACTTCTGTCCCAAAAGTTCTTTAGACCTTCATGCCCATGGTTTGAGGGTTAATGAAGGCCAGTTTACTATTTCAGACAATAATGCTATTGTCGTGCACATAATGACATGGTTTGTGGCCTGATGTTGACCCCAACTGGAGAGGTGATGTGATATGAGATACGTGTTCATGTACCTGTATCAAAGTCGGCATCCTTTACAAATGCCTTACATTGGTTGAGAAGTTTAAAGCCATTGTGTGATCTCTGAATGTAAGCAAATGCACCTATGGCCTTCAATACCACAATTGCTTAGAAGAAAGGATCCATACTAAGGATGGGACTGTGCATTTAATTTTGTAAACGTTTAGCAAAACAATTACGCACCATTTGAACGTATGTAAATTGTTTAGTCCCTTCACAAAGCCTGACACCTACCCTGAGTATGCTTGCACTAGGGCGTGTTTAAAAAAAAAAATCTTAAATTTATTCTTTACAGCACAATGACCTTAGATCTTGCGCCAGCTGCATTTTGAAAACATAAAAAACAGTAAATTGTATACATTGTATATAGCTGACACAATAGACAGCCAGCAGTCATTGAAAACATGACAACTGAACTGCCTGGAATGTGATCAAGTGGCAAGTGCTGCGGCGTTTCTAATGCTTTGTAAATTAAATGAGTTTAAAAGGAATCCGTGATTCTTTGTAAGGGCAGATCGAGTAAACATAATGTCACTTTTTCATATTGTTGGTTTCGTTTAAACGTTTCTTAAAATTTGTTCATGGATTTAGATTGTTTTTCATTTAAACATTTAAACGTGTAAACGTCACATCCTTATACCATGTCATTCCTGGCTCTCCTGCAAAGATGGTACAGTACATAAGTACGAAGTGACAACTTGAGTTCATGCCATTGTGAAAATTTGAGGAATCTGGGGGAAAAGAGATTTTTAGGTTTCAAACAGGATATATGTATGTCAGAGCTACTTTTATTGGAGGTACACTGGTACTGTATTTGTACACCTTTAGAATAAAATTAATGGGCAAACTTAACACTAAAAGCTCGCGAACCAGCACACATGCAATGTGTCCCTCACAAAGCACTATCTTTGGTTCTATTGTTTTGCACAAAATTCAGCCTTTTAAAAAAACATCAAAACTAATCAAATATGCCACAATATCAAGAAAGAAAAAAATAAGGTTCAGTTTCAGGCAATCGCAAAACTAAACAAAGCAATCCACTGGTGTAGTGTTCAAATTCATCTTCGGTCAATGTATGTGTCCTACTTTATATTAATTACAAAATAAATTGGTAATAATGCATTAAAAGATTTTTAGTCCGGGGGGGAAAAATTGGACGGATTGGAAGTCAGTCATCAAAAGACTGAACAGAGAGGCAGGTGTTAATCTCGTCTGAAAAATGAGTGATATGTTTTGATCAAGAGATTTAAGAGATATTGAAATGCATGCTGTACGCATACAGATAAGAGTGACCAATCAGCCCAGAGTTATTGTACTGAAACTGCCGTTGGTAGTAACTTGTCAAATGTCAGTCTTGTTTTCTGTGACGTGGGCGATACATTTTACAATTGTACTTTCGCTTTTTCTATATTTCCCACTGCTTAAAAAAACTCTACAATGTCCGGCACAGTCTATCCTGTGTCATCCAACTTCCAAGGTCATCTGTTTTAATAACCGACCATACATTGTATGTACACTTGCAATTGTCACATGTATGTTAGAGTTCGAACTGCAAAGATCTGAAACTTCAGTTGTCAAAACAAAGGATGTGTAACATGAATGTTTCATTAGTTTTTAAAGTCTGTTCCCCATTTCTTCCACTTTTTCAGATTAATTAACAGACTACCAGTACTCCACATAAGGTGCGTTCCTTCATCCAGGATATACAGAGAGTGACAGATACTCAGCAAAACCCCCGACAGTCACGGCGATAGACACTGGGAGACACACAGAGAGCCAAGATGGGGCGTAAGAAAATACAGATATCAAGGATAAATGATGAGAGAAATAGACAGGTGAGAGCTGAAACAGAAGCACATATGGATTGTAAATTGTACTAAAAATTGTATCAAATTGTGTTACATTTTATTTCATTGTATTACAATGTATTACAATGTATGATTACAATGTATAATTTGTTCCATGATGAATGCACAAAAAACATATAATACAGGAATGGTTTGGGGTGAGATAGGGATTAACAGGCAGGGCAGTTTGGGGCTCCAATGTGAACTCCAAACCTGTGAGCCAATTGGGCATTTCATCAACAACAAAAAGGCGGATCAGTGGGGCTAATTAGGACGGCTAATCACCCTCCCCTCCCCCTGCGAATAACCAATATTAATTATTTACAAAATGGAAGGGAAAAATCCTGTATCTCTTATTGCCAAGATCTTCATTTTGCAGAAAGGTTGTTGGGGAAGTGGTAACAGAAAATGCAGTCTGCAGTCTAAAAGGCAAAAGCAGATGGAAATTCAACTCACACTTGTTGTAGGTTAGAGCATGGGCTACATGTAGAACAAATAGTTAAAACACGGTGCAATAAAAAGATGTTGAAAATTCATGCGTACTTCAGAACTAGAGCCTCTCCTCAAGTTTGTCGGTCCTCTCTCTAACTTTGCACACATGTACCTGTAAACAAGTTTGCATCTGAGAGGGAAATTTGCATCTGAAATGAATATTGTAGCATTTGATAATGTTCACATGCAGTTGGAGTACATGTACTGACATGTACATGTACTGACATGTACATGCAAGGGCTTACTTGGGGATGGAATTTAATTAGATTTTTTGGGAAATACTCCTGCTGCCCCCCCCCCCCCCCCCCCCCCCCCCCCAGATAGGCAGGGAAAAGTAAACCTAAGGGGTTGTTTTGGGAGAATTCTTTTTTCTTCAGTTGATTTTTCTTTAGGACATTTGCCCCATTGTGGCCAGTATTTTTTTGACTCAACAATGAGGTTAGAAGCAGATGTTCCAGAATAATTATTCGATACTTGAAGAGATCTCTCACACGCGTGCTCAGACATATCATGCATATAATTATTCCTATAGGCCATACAGATGTATGGAAATAGTCGACGCACTGAGAACAACATACACTATTTATGCATGTGTCCAGTAGGTGGACATTGCTTTTGGGCATAACACAATTGAGCATGTTGATGAATAAATACATGTGTGGTTCATTTTTAATTACAATGTAGCTATTTCTTGACAAGGGATTGAATCCAGACATGAAAAGGACACAGATTGATTTGTCTCTTGTGCATGTTGTGCTTTACCCCTCATGCCAATATCCTGGTGAAATTGTAATTGACGAATTTTGCACGTGCACACAAACATTCTGTACATGGCATCCGATGTCAATGACATTGATGTCAAAATGTCCGTAATACAAACTCAAAAAGGCTGGGAACATTCAAAAAATAAATAAATAAATAACCGAAAGTTGTAGGGGGGGGGGGGGAGGTTAGATTTGAAAGAGTCATCAACAGACTCTCACTTCATTGACATGAACAAAATGGGATACCAGTACATGAAGTCTGTTACAGTAAGTTTAACCTACAAGTGTATTTTTTAGAATACAACTCAATTTTTCCGCAAGTTTAAATTGATAAGACAAATGCATGACCTTTAAAAAGGTCCAGGATTCTACAACTACAGATTGGATATTCCCTTTCTTGCGCAACATATATTGCATGTACAAGAATGTCTGGATTGCATTGCATTATTGCAACAACAGCAACAACACTTGGTGCGGTGCATTGGTGTCTACATGTACATCAATGACCCCCCCCCCCTAAAATTCCAGAAACAGAGATACAAAGACCCTTTTGGTCTTTCATTTCAAAGTATTCCATTTGGGGTCAAACCTGGTTCCAGTACAATGAATACAGGTTGAGTTCAGTACAAATCAAAGGAAACTATTATCCACACTGTAGAATTTCAACTCGGGTGGTGGATCTGTTTATTTAAAAGATGGTGTTTTGTTTTGTTTTTTTAATCTCCGGACGGTTTAATCAAGCAGCCAAGCACAAAAATTTGTCGGGCACAGAAAATTATCATTGTTATTTTTCAACTACATGTTCATTTACAATGCAAGCTTGCTAAGCAGTATCTGATGCTTATAATGTAACAGCTCAACAGAAAGGCTCTTGTTCAAACCAGGTTTGGTTTCAATAAGGATGAAAAGTGCTTTGCCCAGGATGCAAATTTCACTTTTTCTGCAACCAAGTATAGTCAGTGACCATAATGCGTATGCGTCAGTTGGTAATCGAATTGTTCTTAGACTTCCTTTAAAAAAAATAAAATCCTCCAGAGCTTTGTATGCATCTGGGAAAAAATGTGAAATTCATTTAATTGTTCAGTAAGACTTGATTAAACACAATTTAGAAGAAAACATCCCAAAATTTCTGGAATTTATTCTTTCACACAGGCGTGCACCTTTTCCTTGGATCCGCTGATTTCCTCATTTTATAGTTCTCATGAATGCCATTACAAATTGAAAAACACTGTAGAAAGTCTTGTGTTGTTTGGGGTTTCCTTCTAAATTCCCAGTTGTATGCCTGTTCACATCCAGCCGGACCATGTGCACGCCACAATGGTGCCTTTACTTTCTATGGAAATCTAAACATAAAGATATTTCGAATCACATGATATATTAATTCAATCACGTGATATGTTTCATGCATGTATCATTGAGGTAAATTACTTTATTAGCCTTCAGAAGAAACACCTGCACGTGGGCCAGTTCGGGATTAACATGTTGCCGTTGTGCACAGGGGCTAAACTCTCTCTATATATGCAACTGTACAACGATCCTCATTCACCCGTTTCCCCGACGTGCACGGCTCAATATTTCGGTAGCACCACAGGGAGTAAATAATGTAACAGAGCTGCCAAATGGAGCACAGCCCATTGATTTTTTAGTCCGTAGTGGGGAGAAGGGGGGGGGGGCAAGTTGGTCTGCAGGTAGTACAGGTATCTTCGCCGAAGCTAGGCTTGGGGAAACCTCCATCCAACATCGATAGCATCCAAGACCCTTTTTTACTCAAAGAGTTTTCCACACCGGACAGTATTTAGTTTGCATGCGCATGCCCTGCGGATCTACATCTTGTAGGGTTCGACCCTTAGGGACTGGGGTTGTAATCAACCCACTCAGCGCTGGAGTGTTGATGGCCTACATAGCCCAGGCCATTAGCTGTATTCGTTCACGGCAATGTTGTCCGCTCAATTTTCAAAAAAAAAAGGGGTAGGATGACCAGATCTATAGTATGCCATTTTATGAATGAATTTGAAATAACCGCAAAGTTTTTAAAAAGCATGCATGTACATCAAATAATATGCAAGTATAATTGTTTTTCCCAAACAATGAATTCTTCAATTTACTGGGGATGTTGACAAAAAGGAGGTGTTGGTGCAGGATTTAATCAGAAGGTTATCAATTTTTAATGAAGAAAGATACAAAGATAAAATTTTGTTAAGATAAAATGTGCTGTTGTGCAAGAAAATGTTGAAGCAGGGATTGTCTCAAAATTTTCATCAAATGTTATTTTTCTTTGCAGCATGCCTGACATGTTGAAATGTTTGCATACGTTTAACCTAGATCTTCCCAGAATCCACACCTGGTTTTGCATGCATTGAGGAATTCATGACTACATGTATAGAGCCCTGGCAGTAATACATTTTGCATGGGAGTTCATGACCCGTTTATTTTATTATAAAGAATGTGCCGCAGGCCACTGCACACACAGTGTGGGATTTCTGCAGATTCAGGAAAGTTCCTGGAAAAGAATTCCAGGGGGGCGAGGGTTACTAAGCATTCTTACATGTGTATAACTTCAAATGGATGAATATAGTTATAAATGTGGAAACACTAAAGTTACATGAAACTAATTCCATAGATGTACATGTATGTACGGTACATACCTGTATCTTCATGTACGCGTAGCAACAACCAATGTCACATTGCACTCAAACAACATTTGGACTTGTCAATTTTGATATGAAGTTGTGTTGAATTCTTTCAAGCACTGCAGAACCAGGGGTTGGCTTTTGGACAATTGTGGGTAGAATAGACAAATCTGGGTCTGGATTACTGTTCACTCATAGGGTCCCCTTCAATGGAGAAACCATTGTGCAAGCTACATGTATTGTGCCAAGCAACTGCACCATTCATATCTGAATAATAGGTGGCACAATGCTTGATGCGTTTCCTTTGGTGACTGCTCAATGTTCCAACACCCCTATTTTCCGACATACCTATTTTCCGACAACCCGCTGTGTTACTCCCGGTTAGGGTTAAGGTTAGAGTTAGGGTTAGGGTTAGGAAGAGGAATATGTGCAGTAGGAACATAGGGGTGTCAGAACATAGAGGTGTCGGAACGTAGAGGTGTAACCATTTCCTTTTGCTGTTATCAGCACACAAACAACCCAAAACAAATGTGGATTTTTAGAGGGTTCGAAATGTCCAAATAGAAAAAGAAGTAAACATTACTGTTTAAATAAAACGTACAAATCGAGCAATTCAGTTTTTTCCAGCAATTTTTTTTTAAATCTTGAAAAGCATGGGTAGAGCAACATTAATGTAATTTGTGTATTCAACTTTCTCTTTTCGATGGTACTGTACATGTAGGTCACCTTCACGAAGAGGAAATTTGGCCTGATGAAGAAGGCGTACGAGCTCAGCGTGCTCTGCGACTGCGAGATCGCGCTGATCATCTTCAACAGCAGCAACAAGCTGTTCCAGTACGCCAGCACAGACATGGACAAAGTCCTGCTGAAATACACCGAGTACAACGAACCACACGAAAGCAAGACCAACCAAGAAATCATTGAGGTGAGGACATAGGGACGCATTTTTTTTCTCCTGCTAAATCCTTTTTGCCAAGTGTGATATGAAAGCAGTTTTGCCATTTAGAGTTATTGTTTGCTAATGACGCACTGCAGGTGTAGTGCAACATATTTTTTTGCCATAAACCACACCTTTAGATTTTGTTAATCCCTTGCACTACGTGCATATGCCATTGTTTTGCATTTAAGTTTAACCCATTAGCACTTGTTAAACACTCTTTTACGTTTTTGAAATAAAAAAACAAAAACAAACACAAATCAGTGTAGGGGTAGTTTCGGATGTTATGGGGAGTTAAGAGGCAGGGCGGTTTTGGGCAGTATAGGGACGAATTGTTTAAGGGGCGAGGAAATATAAAACAAAATATATTGGAGATTGTGGTTTATACAAGGGCACATCAATATTTTCAGCTCTAATCAAGGGAGTAATTTATTTCAGTAGTCCAAGAAGAATATTGTAATATTTTTTATCATTACCAGCAGCCGGAGGGATAATAAAACACCTGCAGTTTTCATGGCATTGACAGCGCTCATATTATAATGCCATGCGTCAAAACGTCTTTGGCTCTCCTTAAAAAGAAAAACTCGCCATCAAAAGGCACATGTTGTAGGGGGAAAAAAATAGACCAGGCACAATGGGCCGATGATGCTGATATCATGGCGAGCCCTGTAACCCTGCTCTTACAGCAGCAACCCCTCTAGAGACCGGCCCCCCAACCTGAATGTGAATTTGAGAACATGTCTTCTTTCTCCACCTCCCCTCCCTTCAATGGGAGGGGGGGGGGCCACGGGGAGTGATTGTATTCAGTAGCTGGATGGATAACTGAATGCCAGTGGCCTGCCTCTTTCTATCCAACTCTCCATAGGCAGTCAATGGCCGGTGTTTGTCAAGAATCTTGTATGCCGTCGGTATTGACGTCATACTGAGCCGAGCCTTGCAGTCCCCTGTCCCCTGAAAAGCTAATTTTGAAAGATTTTGTTTTCGGTACTCCACCTTTTCATCTTTTTCCCTCTCGGGTTTTGAATCTCCATATTTGGTTTCAGGTGCGCTTGTGAGTTTGGTTTTATTTGAGTCTTAGACGATTTGAAGATTGTCAAGAAGAACAATAGATTAATGCAAGAAGGGGAACAAGCTTGATTGAAAAGCCAAGAACACAATTTTAATTCTGCAGTTAACCAACTCATTCATTTATGTATTGAAAAAATATACAGTCCCTGTGGGAAATGATTTCAGGTACACATCTCTCCACAGGTAGTTTTCATTTACAGAAAATTGTATTCGCTCAAATTTGTGTTTATGACAACAACTTTTTGTGTGCTTGTAGTTAACGTACACACATCGCATTCGTCACATTGTAAATATTGACAAGTGTTAAAAAAAATAATAATTGGTTTTCCTTATCAGCAAAACCCTTGTTGACTATAACAATCAGATCTAAGAGGGTCAGAATTAACTGCAAGAGAATACATTAATATTGATGTTTTTTTAATGTGAACTGCATGTGCATGTATATTCACAAGTCCCCCAGTTCAATCAGTTATCCCAATGTCTTTCATTATATAACGCTAATAACAGCATGTTGCGGTTCAGCCATGTCTGGCTTGCAGAGTGCACATGTCACTGTGCGCCGCGCTCCAATAAGGCTCTTCCTGTTTGCGAGCGTAATGCCAGAGCGGAAGTTGCCGGTCAGTAATGATTGGGTATGATCGGCCTCCGTCATGGCGCGGTTTTGCAGCCATCGCATGCCCATTAGCATTTGCGTATGCCTCCACCACTTTGAGCCAATCAGCTCAAGGCACAGGCACCCCTCTTCTCCCCCCCCCCCCCCCCCCCCCCCACTAGCGATCAGTCACGGGAAAAGGGCGTCAGAGCTTGGCTCTTGTTCAGCAAAGGGAAGAGTGGAGAAAAAAACACCCAGTGACTGTTCCTGCCTGGTACGCTGCCCCGTCGTCACTCGCACTGCCTCCCTTAGGATTATATGGCATCCGTAAACCGAGTAGCCCCAGTGTTTACTGTTAGCAGAAAACATAGCGGTCTTGCGGGAATACATGTACATCAGGTCAATATTTTGAGCATTGTAGAACTTGACCAATAGTGATGCTATTTTCACTTTTTTTCCCCTTTTTTTGGGGGGGGGGGGTCATGGGGGCCCCATGTTATTGAGAATTCTTAGTCATAGGAAGAGGGGTGCAAAGCATGTGCCCCCGTGCCTACAATGTACGTCAGTGGCTTCTTATTGAATTACTGCCATTGCCGCGTGAACTTTTGGGAGGCCTGCTGTAAGGATGACAAAGCGCATTTCAGCCAATTCGGCTTGATTATGTTCGGTAATTCACATCCTAGGGGCTGGTCGGAACGTTGCATGTACAATGTACATTTATCCCCGGTATATTATGACACTATTCCCCATTTCAAATTTTTGTTGGTGTCTGCATTTAATTCGAATCCCGGTTCAAATGTGTCTTCATTTCTTTTTTTGGTTACGTATAGAAAGATTGCTGGGTTGGGATATTTATTTCACTTCATGTTTCCAGATTGACAGATATTTTTTGTAGCTAATAAGAGCTTAAGCTAATAAGAAGGCCTGAATGATGTAGAGATGCATGTGAACTGTGAATGATTTTTGAATAATGGATTTAATTATGACATTTATAAAAAAAAAAGGGGGACAACTTGTTCTTTAAAAAGCACTTTTTGCATTCCCTGCTCAAGTTTAAAAGTTGCTCTCTCGCAAATTATTTCACTTCATAAAAAAAGGAAAATGTCCACACCAAAAAAGTTGACAAAGGTTTCTTAAATGCTGTTTGAAGTTCTTCATACATGTTCCCTTGATCACACTTAAAGAAAAGTTGAGTTTGTCACTATCAGGCATTCCATATTCGAGACCCAAAAACGACTTTGTCCCCGATATCTTTCCCAAAAGTTAAAAAGTGACTTAATGAAATAGATTTTTTTTGGTTCATTCTCTTTCCTATTTCAGGTAAATAATTTTTTTTTTTGGTAAAGACTTGAATGAGTTATCAGATTGACATTAATTGAGTGAAACTCGTTTATCGCTGGCCAGGAGGGAGAAAATGAAGGCCAACTTTCCGCAACCTCCTCGCCTTTTTTTGCATCTCTTCGTGTGTGTTTGTTTTGTCAAGCGTCCACATTACACCAGTGATTTTTCTCTGCCTGCTCAATCGGTAGAACGACTCCGTGTCATTTAATTTGTACCAAAGACTTGGACCAATTATTCCTTATTAAATCACTTGCCCGGCGCTGCGGGAAGCGGGAGAAGAACGCGTAACGAATCCGAGTCCAACGTCTCTCCCAAATTGAATTAACACCCTCTCCTGCCTCTGTGCGCTGCTAGCTGGCACACGTTTGTTTCAGTCCCTTTTTCCTTAATCGTGACACAATTGTCGAGACCCTTCTTTGCTTTTTTCTCCTTTTTTTTCCGCGTCATTGGTGGCATTGTGAAGGTTGTGCCCGTTGTTCGCTGGAGCTTTATGGAGCAATTTCCCGGCAATTTTGCACCAATTTTCCGGTTATTTGCACGTACTTGTGCTTGGCCCGATGAACTGGGCGCTTCCTAATGTCCCCGCGGTGATTTGATTTGGGAAACAAAGCATGGGCATTTATGAAGGGACCCCCCCTGCCAAATAACGTTGATTAGTGCCACAAATTTGTTGCAATTGAGCCCCTCCCAGAGCCAGTGTCTGTGGAGCAGAAATAAAAGAAGGGATTTTTTTCCAGAACTGTTAATTTGGGAATGTATTCTGTTGATGTTTTGTAGGTTTTTTGTGTGTTGCATTTTGCAGTCTGGCATAAAACAGAAAAGACTCATCCAAACAATGTCGGTGACTAGTGGCAAATGTCACTTCAAATCAAGTTAAAAACCAGCAGTTTTAATTTTCTTTGCACTTGCGCACAATTTTTTTTTTTTAAGAAAAAGAAGATGGAAATTACACGAAAGACAATTAAATCACTCTGCAGCCATGCCGCAGAGTTGGAGTAGATTTTTTTTTCCTGAAGAGTTCCAATTTGACTTTGTTAAATTAATTACATTAATTTTGAAAAGTTGAACACAGAAATTAACTGGAAGGGGGCTTGAACCTGGAACCTCCAGATCGCCGTTCCAGTGCTCTATCAACTGAGCTGTCCAGCCCTAGGTCGGGGGTTCCCCATTTTGTCAATGTCTTTGTTCAGGAGTTGGATGCAGTTTGCTGTGAATAGTTCTCTGTTGTCTCAGAAGGCAAGAACCAGTGTACATTTCCCTTGACACACTTTATGAATGCATATGTAACATTATTGTTGTTACTTTTTTTGGCCTAAAATTAATCCAACCAAAGGTTTCCCAACCTAGCTAAACTGTTGCCTTGGGGTTTTTTTTGTCTGGAATTTATTGTATAAATTTGTTTGTTTGAGAGGACCTGACCTAAAAGAGTATAGTTAGAAAATTCCAATGCATGATTAAAAAATTATGTCTTCCTCATTTGCAGGGGTGAAGCCCAAGAATGAAATCCATACTAAGATAATGAGATTTGCATCCTTGTTCTAATGAACTTTACTGTACAAAATGTAATTAAAAGTGCCACAAATTGCCGCAGAGTTAAAGTAGATTTTTTTTCCCTGAAGAGTTCCAATTTGACTGTTAAATTAATTACATTAATTTTGAAAAGTTGAACACAGAAATTGACTGGAAGGGGGCTTGAACGTGGGACCTCCGGATCGCCGTTCCGGTGCTCTATCAACTGAGCTGTCCAGCCCCAGGTCGGGGGTTCCCCATTTTGTCAATGTCTTTGTTCAGGAGTTGGATGCAGTTTGCTGTGAATAGTAATCTGTTGTCTCAGAAGGCAAGAACCAGTGTACGTTTCCCTTGATACACTTTATGAATGCATATGTAACATTATTGTTGTTACTATTTTTTTGGCCTTAAATTAATCCAACCAAAGGTTACCCAACCTAGCTAAACTGTTGCTTTAGGGGTTCTTATCTGGAATTTA